GTTTCTCTTTGGATACAGAACAACCCGAAATTCAGCTAGATTAAACCTATTATTATTAGAATTGTGTTTTCATTAATTAGATAAATGAGTACTAATGTACCATATTATAATATAAAATAAAACCATGCCAGAGTAGATATTTTTGGTGAGAATTTAGAAAAGTAGGTACTTAACTCTAAATTATAGATACAACCACTTGTGATAAAAAAATGTATTTATTAAGAATATGGAGTAGGTTTGTTACACACCATGATAAATAGCAGAAAGTTTTAATAGTAAGATAAAATTACTGAAGCCAAACTTGATCCTCTATCCACTGCAAATAAGACGACACTTTTGTATAGATGCCGGGACTATTTTTTGATAAACCGCATGGCTTTCCGAAAGATGTGATGCCAACTATAAAATAAGCTCCACCTTCAGAAACTTGAAGAGGCCCACCAGAATCGCCCTGAAATTATATATATATTTTTTAATTAAAAGTTTGTTTCCTTTTGGTTTTCCTTTTTATGTCCTTTTTTCAATAAAGTATAATAACTATTTGGTCTTGAAAATATCAACGAGAATTGCAATGGAAACTGTACGGAAAATTTTCAGCGGATGCTTCATCAAAAGGAAAACAAGGAAAGTAGACAATTATATAAACATTCTTGTCCAAAATATGTATCAGAATAGTACAGATATTTATGAAAATTACCAAAAGATGTACTTAATTCTTTGAATATATAGGGTGTCAATTTAACAAATTTTAGCAAAATCGCATAAGGCGTTTTAAATTTATAAAAAATAAGATTTTAAAGTTGCAACTTCAGGGCCGTATACCACCCAAACGGAGCAACTTCGAACTAAGGTAAGTTTAGTTAAATCGACTATTTTGAGCCGTACTGTATCACGTTGTAAAGACCTTTTAAGGACACCCCTATGCTAAAAGTAAAATTATGTAACACATAATGCTAAAACTTTCGCCGTATCACTGTTTATTCAATGCCATAGAACACAGATGCCATCAATTAAAATCTGGCCATACACAATGTACACCTACCATAAATGCTTGTAGATTGGATCTTATTAACGAAATGACCAAAGTGTTTTGTGGGTGTCTGGTAAAATTGTGTTTCACATATTAAAACCTTTAAAAATTGATTGAAAGAACATAGGTGACCACACTAATGGTGACGCTGTTAAATGAGTAAACTGTTATACGTATTAATTTTATGATCATTTTATTAAAAATATACTATGGTGTAGATGTAAGGACGTATTATTTTAAATGTCTTGAAACTAATATTAATTTTTTATTGTAGATACAATGACTAAGCCAACTTTTTGATATATTTTCAATCTTCTTCAGGGTTATAAATAATAAAATTGGCATAAGAATATTGACCGTACAAGAACTTACAAAAAACTGATTATTTAAATAATTGCCATCAACGTATCACTTCCGGTTATACCGAAAGTAGCTGTCAACTTCGTTATTTTAAATGGAACACCCTATATATTATTCCGGTATAACCGGAAGTGCTACGTTGACGGCATCATTTTCATTGAAGAGAAAATATCTGATAACCCTCGTAAACAAAATTTCAGAGTCATATTGCCTTTGGTTCCTCTGAAACGTCTAATAGGCCACTTACCGTGAAGAACCCTGTATATTTTTATAAATGTAAACTTTTATGTTAATATCTGTTATGTTAAAGGTTAGATTTAAAAAAAATTAACTTATAATAACTGTAATTTATTTTTTTATGACAATATGTAGAAAGCTAAAAGAAATTTAAAAAATTAACTATCGCGTACATCTCAACACCTTGTATAAGATTATTTTTTATTCAATCGTTACTAAATCCTCCTCTGACCTCTTGTAACCTTCTTTTTTAGTACTATACTGGGTGATTTATATACTTTCTTATACAGGGAGTAACCAAAATATTTGGCTTAACTTTTGTGGAGAATTCTATGTCACAAATTAGCAAAAAAAGTTGCTATAAATGTGTCTCAAAATGCATCATCAGGGTGTTGAATTAAAAAAAAGCATTTGATATTTTCAAATTACGGCTAAAAATACAGTAGAGTATTTCCATAGTGGATGTAGTAATTTTAGATTTCAATTTTTATGCACTGATATCTTGATCATTATAAGGGAAAAAAATCGTTTAAA